GACCGCGCCCTCGAGCTGTGGGCTGTCCCCACCCATCTGGGGCGAGGCTCACCCCTCTTTCGCCTCGGGTAAGCCACAGGGACAGTGTGCACACAGTGGGTCCTCGCGAGACCCACTGTGCCAGCTCGCCACACCGTGCAGCCAGTGCCCAGAGCGTGACGTCCACCCCGCCTGTCCCCTTTTCAGCTGCCTGGCCGTGGACAGGACTGGCAGAGTCCACCCAAAAGAGTGCAGAACAAAGACCCCCACCCAGAGAGGCGGCTTGTAGCTATACTTACGTAATTCGTGGCCCACCAGGACTTTAACTTCAGATACCACTGTAGTTTGGGTCCGAGGTTGACGGCAAAGTCTTCCGCGAGGGCCGTCATCCGCTTGAAGTCGGCTTCCTTCATGAGCGGCTGCACGGACTCCAGGTACTGGGGCCGGCGGAGGAAACAGCGGGTCAGAGCGCCGGAGCGTCCTCGCCTGGCCCCAGGACGCCCTGCACACGCCTGAAGACGCCGGCGGCCCGGGAGGGTCGGCTGGTCCTCGCGCGAGCCGCTCTCGGCGGGCGGGGCGAAGGCTGGCGTGGGTCACGGGCCTGCAGTGGGGACGCTGGGGCCCCCGCTTTGCCAGGGGCTCTGGCTCATGAGGCGCGGGGTGCGGGCGCTCGACGCAGCGCCCACAGAGACCCGCGGCGGCGAGACCGCTGCCGAGCCTGCCTGTCGGGCAGCGTCAGAAGCAGCCAGACGGTCGCCAGGGCAGCGCGACTGCAGAGGCCCCTGTAGGGCCGTAACGGGGGGCCCCACTCCCCGGGGAGCGGCCACTGAACCTGCTGAGGAGCACTCGGCTGAAAAGCCTGCTCTGAGCAAGCCAGGGCGGGACACGGGGCTTCCGGGCGGGGCACGCCCGGTCCGGCTGACTCCAGAGAGGGGCTGGGCTCACCTCCCTCCTGCAGGGACATGGAGAAGCAGGGCGGTGGGACAGGACGAGGGCGGGGCTCCCATGGGTATTGCCCGGGGGAGGGTGCAGAGAAGCAAAAAAGGTGCCTGGGTTCAAAAGCCTAGAAGTTTCCCGCTTGTGGTGTTTTAAACGCGTCCACAGGACAAGGAGAAAACAACCCCCGCGATGGAGCTGGGGGGAAGCCAGCCTGCAGGACTGCTGCAGGTGGAACAGAGGTGGCAGGGGGTCTGGACACTGCTCCATGGCATGACCCAGCAGCACTGAAAGCGGGTCCCCAAGACAAAGCATGTCCCGCACGTCCCCAGCAGCACTATGTGAAAAGGCAGAAACAACCCAAACGTCATCAACAGATGACGGTAAGATGCGGGCCACCGGACCGTGGAGTACTACGCAGCCGTGAAAAAGAACGGCGTTCTGAGAGCTGCTACGCTGTGGGCGGGCCTGACAGTGACTTCAAAGGGCCAGAAGAAAAGGCCCTTGCACAGGCGCAGGAGACTTGGGGAAGAGCAGAGCCAGCTGGCCCACAGGGGGGCGGGGCGGGGAGCCGGGGCTGGGGACGGCCGCTGCTTACGGGCCGGGGCTGGGGGTGACGCGTCCGGGGTCGGGCTGGGGGAGCCAGGCTGGGCCGCGGCTGCGGGACGGTGTGACGCACCTGGCGCCACAGGCCGGTCACTTAAAAATGGCCGGAATGGTCCCTTTCTGCGACGTGCTCGGGGGACACACCGAACCGCTGGCCGCTCTGAGGGGACAGAGCCTACAGTCTGTGAATCCTACCTCAGCCGAACTGCTTAAGTGTTTGCCAGTTTGGCTCTGAAAAGTCTGGCACCTTCAGAAACAAAATCCAGGGCCGAGCGCCACTTCGAGGAGAGGAGCGGCCTCACACCCACGCCTGCGGGTGACAGCGAGGCAGACGCCCCTCCGCGGCCCGCACCCCGCGGGCCGGCACGCGGTGCCTACCCTGTTCACGGTGTCCTTCACGGGGGGCACGGGCAGGCGCGGCAGCGACGTCTGGAAGCTGTACAGCATGGGCTTCCGGCCAGAGAAGACCTTGACCATGCACTTTGGGGAGAGCACACGTCAGACCCGCCGGCGCTCGTTAGGGGGTACGCTGGAGGCCGCAGCCACTGCACGTGGGGGTCCCCGCGGAAGTGAGCAGGGGCGGTGGGGTCCCGGGGAAGCAGGGCCCACCCGGCCTGGCCCCGGGGCGACCTCGCTGGCTACGACCCCCGGGGGCTCCTCACGACCGGGGCTGGCAGCTGCGGGGCTGTCTGTGCCCCCACATCCATCTGCTCGGAGCGGACAGCTGGCGTCCGTGTCCGAGCCCCGGCGGGGCCCGGGGCGCGCCCTCCCCAGGCAGGCCAGGCCCCGGCCCCGGCCCGGGCCCGTTACCATCCAGACGCGGGTGGCGCGGCTCATCTTGCCGTGCTCGGCGAACATCCAGCCGTGGTAGGACAGCAGCACCTTCAGGGAGTAGCGCATGGTCACGATGAGGGCCACCCACAGGCCCGTGCCGAACAGCACGCCGCTGACCACGTTCTTGGTCTGGCTGGACATGTAGCCCCTGCGGAGGCGGGAGGGTGAGGCCGCGGGGCGGCGGGGCCAGGCAC